GCTGGACTACTCTGCATGAGCTGCATGACTGCGTGTCTCGTTTTGAGAGCATCTAACATTTGCACAAATGGTCCACGTGCGCGGTCTGTAACATGCCGGAAAAGTGAATTGATGAGATGCAGAGAGTTGAGTTGAAGGAGATAATCGGTGGCAGAAAGCCGATGCACTAGCGTAGGAAGAAAAGATGCCTGGGATGATATAGCCCGATTGACTACGTCGAAGCCGTAGCATTGAATCGCAGATGACGGGTTAGTTGGGTTTGCCGCGACCAATTTAATAATGATTGCCGTCGCAGGACGACAAATGTTGACCAGGTTCTGCTTGACAATGATAGACACCAGCTGTAAGAGGATCCAGAAACGGGTAAGTTTTCGACATGACTTCGCTAGACCAGAACTCCCAAAAGAGTTACTACGTACTGTGCTAATGAATGGCGGACTGAACGTATCCCATCCTCGATCGTGTTCCATAAGCGTTTGCAGTGATGTCAGAGCATAGGCCAGCGTGTTCCCTTGTGCTGTTATGATCACATCTTGAAGCTTCTCTAATCCTCCCAGCACAATAAACTCGTCCACAAATTCATCCTCTTTCAAGTATTTCTGGAGCAGAAATATGGTCCGCTTTAGCAGAGATTGATCATCTTCGGGTGTAAGGTTCTTGATTATGTCCGCCGCCATTAGCGCCGGCGACGGCACAAGCTTGAGGTTAGAGCCATCCACGAGCTTTCTTCGAAGTCTCTGGTAGTGTTGCGCATGAGAACCCAGGTTCGGGAACCGCGCGTTTTCTCGACCGCAAACTCACCTCTTGCGTGACCAGTTCTTCGGTTTCCAGAATCCTCAGACAGTAGTTCGACGGATTACCCGACAGCGAGAAGTGAGATAGCCAGAGCCCCTTGATGATACTTGACACTGAAGACGAAGTGTCTACGGGATAGGAATCGAGTTTGTGGGTATTGTAACTGATGGACACAGTGATTCGTCGCTTCGACCGCGAGGGATTTGTTCTGTACAAGTCCGGCGGCATGTTGCGTGGTAGTGACGGCATCAAATCGAGAAGAGGATGGCCACAGAATCTGCGCTAGCGATATGGAAGGTAATCTGTTTTCTCACGGAAATGCACATTCGCCATGCCCAGCAGGAGTCGCACTGGTGCACAGCCACCGACAACAGTTGCACAGCCACCCGTGAGTGGATTTATTAAGGCTGGATGGAGGACTCTGTGTGACGGAACTTCCCTCAGAATATTCTTAAACCTTGACGCCGAGTGTGCTCCTTTTCCGTCGCAGTCATTTGAATAGCCTGCGGAGAAGACACAGCAGTTCTGTTCATCCTTCCCCGGAAATCTATGGCCTAATCCGCTACGGAATCAGCAATTTGAGGAAAACTGGACACCGGAGCTGATACGATACTATGCTTTGGAGAGGATTTGGATAATACTTGGCATCTTTCACATCATGATGGTATCAAGATAATATCCGGCATGAATGGCGCTTCCGAGTCACGTCCTTTAAACCTGTTTGGTTTGATGTTACAAATTTGCGAACGAGTTTCTGTTGCACAGGGCTTTTGTACGGACGTATTGTGACCGTTCAAATCCACGGAAACAAAACTGCGGCATGGCGCGATTTATTATGACCCGACAATCGCCATTGCACTGCTGTACGATTGATTGTGCCTCAATCGATTGTTGCGTCAATGCACCACGCCCCATACATGGGCAAACCGTTCACCAACATCCCAATGATCTAAAGCAATCTCCACAAAGTGGGAGAGATTGTATGATGATTCTAAATTATGGCGGCGAAAGAAGCTCCACATATTTGTTTAACGGACACCACATTCGGTGACGTGAAGAGGCTTATGTTGCACGATCGATTCAAAAGGAGGTTCAAGAAACCGCAACGTGGGCTGCACAAGTTCTACTATCGCCAAAACTGTCTCCCGAGACCTTCCAGTGACCAGGTGTGAGGTACGCCACAGAAAGGAGCCCTGCGGGGTGACAAGTTGGCTCTGATTGCTTGGCCAACGGCGGGACGAAGCGCGAATCTGTTGGTGGATCCCATTAATTGCGCAGCGCCTTGCCGTTGTTATCATCGCTGGGCGATATGATAATGGTGATATCTCTGTGCGTTCTCTTAGCCTCCCTCATTCCGTACAATACCGGTACGACTACTACGACCTCACCAACCATTCATAACCACCACGCACACCCCCGGTGGCCCTTTTGACAAAAAAAAACCATTGGGAAAAACGTGGAAAAAAAAAGAACTACTGTAGCCTCACAGTACCGCACAATACCCGAAACCGACACGCACCCGTTTGCCGACAGACAGACAGTTCATAGTAGTCCAGACAGTTTAAATACAATCGAGGCCTCCCAAGCCCCGGCCAATAAGAGTGCTACTGCCCACTTCGTCCAACCCTCGCGTCAACCTTGATAAAAAAACTTTTATCTAGACTGCATTTCGCTATCGAACGCTTTTCTCGTCTCCTGCTCTCTCTCTCATTTCGCAACTTGCTACGGCCCACCCGCGTTTTCGCAAATGCCGCCGTTCACGGGCCATGCTGTGTCGGACGGTTACTTGACGCAACCTACATTCCGGCGTGCAGCACGGAAGAATCTCCCGTCAGACCTCCTCCCTGGCTTTGAACAGAAACTCGACCATCCGACTGTCCTCACAGGAAAGACTCCCAGCTTTGCGCTCCAGGATGGCTTGGCATTCATTGGATACGCCGCTCAAGCCATTGCACAGGTTTGTAAACTCGTAGAATGCATGGCTTTGACGTTATCAATCCCGTACTGATATCAGCGACTCCTAGGATGAATTCTCCAAATGCTTCAAACAACGACCTCGCCGGAACTTCTCGCTGAAAACTATTCTCCTCGGTCCACTCCATTTCGTTCCCATCATTTTGAGCTGGATTGTCCGATACTTTGTCTTATTCCCGTATCGCATGGGCCTTCTCCTGTCAGCCACCGTCTTCTTCTTCATGGCTCTCCCTGTGGTCCTTCGTTTCAAGAGTGAGGCTTGGCAGCGCTGGTTGTTCCGTTTCTACTGCAAAGCCTTCCTGCTTTCGTGGGGCAGTCGCATCCGATACCATGGACGAAAACCGAAGGTCGACGAACCGCATATTTTTGTTTCAAACCATACTTCGGTCATCGACTACCTTGTTCTCTCTGCTCATGACTTCCCGCACGCCACCGTTGCCCAGAAACACGGAGGCATCATTGGATATTTCGAAGACAAAGTTTTGACCTTGAACGGATCTCTGATGTTTAACCGTAGCGAGAAGAACGACAGATCGGTTTTGGCTCAAAAGTACGTATATGTGGCCTGAGATACAGTGTAATCTCTGCAGAGCTGACCATCTTTTTTTCTCCAGAATGAAACAGCACGTGTCCAATCCCAAGAATGTGCCACTGTTAATTTTCCCAGAAGGAACATGCGTGAACAATGAATACACCGTTCTCTTCCACAAAGGAGCCTTCGATCTCGACTCGGCGGTCGCCCCGGTGGCGATCAAGTACAACAAGCGGTGGGCGGACGCATATTGGCACAGCAAAACGCAATCATTCAGCAAGCATCTTTTGTACCTCATGACCCGTTGGGCCTTGGTTGCCGACGTTTGGTATCTGCCTCCTCGATCCCGGAAGGCTGGCCAGTCTGCCGTCGAATTTGCAAACGAGGTTAAGGCAGAGATTTCTGCAGTTGCCTCGCTGAAGAACCTGAGCTGGGACGGCTATTTCAAGAATTTTGCACCCGCCAAGGAGAAGCAAGTCAGGTTGCAAGAACGTAAGTTGACCACGCATTTCGATGTAATCGTGGATGCAAACGTTATTCTAATAGTTCTTAATGCAGATCCACAAACGCGATATGGGGTTGTGTTGATGAACCGCATGCGAAATCGTCCGGGAATCGATCGCATGGGTCACCTGCGGCGATCAGCGTCAATATCCTTGGGCACCGTCTCGTCATCGAAAGGCCCCCGACAAATTCGATTGAGTCAGCCCGACTGGATGGACCCCAAAGAAGCCCTGACTTCTGCAAAGAACGAGATCCTCGTCGCAGCTCTGGAGGATGAACGTTCGTTGGAAATGATTCAGGATATCTCGCACAAGAAGAACGATGTCGTGGAAACCTGGAAACGTTACTCGAAGATCCGATCTGGAGAAAATACCCAGCGACGCATCGAAAACTCTTCCTGGCGACTGTGGTTCAAGCAACGAATCGAACGACAGGCTGCCGAAGAAAGACGACTACTCCGTGAAGCTGCCGCTGCCGCTGCTGCCCGTGAAGAGGAGCGTGAAGGCAGGGCTCGCGGAGAAGACCTGACTCTCAGCATGCTCACCGCCTATAACCTCATGTCCTACTTCCCACCCTCCTTGTTCTCCCCACCCATCACCCGCCCCCGCAACCCCGACAGCACAGATGACGACGAGCAGACTTCTCGTCCTCGTAGTCGCAGTGTGGGAACCCGTCCGTTTGGCTCTGGAAGCTATTTCCCCAGCACCCCTCGATCCGACCGACCTTCAGCACTGAAACGACAGGAGACGTCTCCCGGGTCTAAGACGTGGTCCGCATCACCAAAACGCCGTGCTCCCCTCGTACCAGCCAGATAGCACCCCGGCTACGAATAACGTTTTTATCAAAGACAAAAGACATTCAATACTGCCGTTTGAGCGGTTGGCAAACAACGGTTTGCGATTTTGTTGTGTAGAGCATCCTGTTTGTCGATACCCTTCCCCTCCCGCATTTTTGTAGTGCAAGGTGTCTCTCCCCCCAGTCTCTCCTGTTCTTTTTGTTTTTTGTTAACCCTTTCAATGTTGATATTTCCTTTTTTTTTGCATGTATTTGAACGAACTTCATTTGAATAAATACTCAATCATTCATCTCATGAGCTTGATAGAGGGGAACGGTTGGTTGCGTGTGCATCCTATGGTGTCCATCGATCTAGGTGTCATTATGGACATTTACAAGCGCCTGCAAGATGCTTCATCAGGACACGATGGCCGAGTGGTTAAGGCGATAGACTAGAAATCTATTGGGCTCTGCCCGCGCAGGTTCAAATCCTGCTCGTGTCGCAGTGTTTTGCACCTTTTGCAGTCGTTACACTCACCTGTGTAGTAGGGGTGGGTGCCTGAAAGTCTTCAGACTGCTTCCTGCATTAAACACAATTTTTTATAGAAGGAACATTGGTGAAGAAAGATATGCGACTACTGAGCTGCGCAGCAGGTAGAGGATCCATGAATGCGACGCGCGTTTGCTCACCTAAGCGACCCCTTTCTACGCGCTTTTGATCAATGCGTTTCTCCTTGCAGACACCGCAGAGTCCGCTGACTGCAGACACAGTTCGCCAGCAAGACGCCCAATTGCGCAATCGCTGAGTTTTGTAAATGTGTTACAGAGATCCTCAATCCTAGACTCGTCTTTGATTGCCTGGGCCCGCGCGTTCCCATTCTGCGCCGTCGGTTTACACGCCTGATAGCAAGGACCCTTGTTTTCCACGCCTCTTCAGCTGGCTGCCCCCACTTCTCCAAAAATGTCTATAAAAGGGGACTGCTCTGACCATCCCCGACCCCGCCCTTCCTTTCCAGCACCCGATTCCAACTCCCACTCCCTCTCCATCCTGCTCACTGTGACTTCCGATCCCAGGCTGCACCAACGAGCGTGAGCGTTTTTGTTGGAAATATCAATCGTATAGTACGTCTAGACTTTGTGGGTACGTGTAATGCTTGGCAAAACTAACCCGGTATGCGAGCGCGTAAGTCGTTCTCCCTTTTCGGCATTTCGCCGTCTCTTTACATCTCTTTGGCCCCAACTCTCGTCATCGAACATCACTTGTGCTAGCCTGTCGCTGGACTGAGGGAGGAAGCAATGGCGGATATAACATAAGGTAAGGAGCCCGGACTGGTAAGGTAAGAATGCGCAGCAAGCAATAATTGAGGCAAAGAACGAAACTAAGCGCGAGGACACCCCTTTGCGCCATCTCTTCGTCTCTTCGCTCCCAACTCTTGGCATGGCCGTCACCCGTTTTCACTAAGCGGCTAACTGAGGCAGGAAAGGCTGCATTCATAATACAAGGTAAGGTGAACGGCCGAAAGGGACAAAGGGTAAAGTAAGAGTGCGCAGCAAGCAGAATTCGAGGCAAAAAACGCCATTGCGCCATGTCTTCGTCTCTTCGCTCTCGACTCGCGGCATGGACCATTACCGCTTTCACTAAGCGGCTAACTGCAGGAAGGGTTGAATGGATCCTACAAGGTAAGGGGAACGGTGGACAGGGACAAAGGCAGTAAGGTAAGGGTGCGCAGGCTGTCATCGAGGCAAAGCAGAGAGCGAAATCAGGACAAGCAGAAGGAGAAGCAGAGCGGATGACAAATGCCGGAGACAAGGAGAGTAGAAAAGCAGGGAGGATACGTAGAGGAGACCAGTAAAGGAGCCGGAGTAAGGTAAGTAGCGAGGCCGGACAGGAGGACCATAGCAAGGTCAGAGCGCGCAGCAAGCATTGACTGAGACAAAGTCGAGAGCGAAATCAAGCAGCGAGGATAAGCACAGAGACATGCAAAGAGGACACAAAGGACAATCGGAGCGGACATACAAAGAGGACACGACGTTACTGCGGAAGCGAGATCAGACAGCGAGATCCAGCAGCAAGGACAGGAGCGAAGCACGCACCAACAAGGGCATGGAAGGCAACTGCATCTCCGGTGGTCTTCCGGAGCGCAGCCAGCTGCAATCAAGACCATGTAACACAACCAAATCAAGCCATCACAATCAGCGAGGACAGTATTAAAAAATCGCCGCAAGCAGCAACTACTAACAACTTACATGATAAACGGAGAACCACATCGAGCGACACCATTAAGCAAAAAGGACTCTGCAGAAACGAACGTCAGTCAAGCGCTGCCCGTGAGACACGGCAGAATAAACATCAGGGGACGCAGAAGGCGAATGTAAACGGCAGTAAAATTCGGGAGTGGACGCCTAGTTTATTGGATTTCTTGCTGCCCACCACCCTCTCTGCTTTTCTCTTGCTGTATTTCTGGGTTGGGCAACAAGAGAGGTAGCGAGGCGACATCATGGGCTCGAGCTGACCGTGCGGTAGCCTGGGGTTACTCTTGATTGGTAACTTTTCCGCTGTCTACATCCGTGTTCTGTCACCTCTGCTGCTTACCCCGGAGGTGGGAATGCACCGAGCGGGAATGTAACGCGGGAACTGACCCGGGCCGGCTGAAGTGCGGTAGCTGGGGTTGCCTGTCTGCCGGGGTATCTCCTTGGCTTCATGCACGCCAATTCTGTCTCCGGTGCTGCTGACATCGGTGGAAGGCGGAGCGGGAAGGCTGCCAGGAAGAATGCAGCAATCGGAGTGGCGGGACCGGAGCTGGCATGTTACAATCCGAGCTGCCTGCTCTTGCCGTTTCTCCCTCGCGGCGACCAAGTCTTCGCACGTTGCCTGCTGCCTGTGGGATTAGTATTCATGGAAGTGGCTTCCCGTTGTCGCCACTGCCGTGCAACATTCCCTTTCCGTTTCGAAGCTTGTCCCGGTTCTTTCGCCAAACCAACACATCTCACAAACGGTCGAGCGAACGCTGCCGCCTATTCCAACCATACCCAACTCTCTTCCTTCCTTGGGTAGCACTGCAAGTCCTCTCGTCTGGGAATTGTGCCCGTTCTCTTGCCACACCACCAAATGTTACAACACTCGCGAGCTCTAGCATATCAACTCTGATCCTTCTTCGAGTAGTATCGTATGTCGTCGAGGGCAATCCTTCCACCCTGCAATATCGTACCGTGAACCGCATTGGGATGGTCGAGTGCCGTGGGGACTGCTGCGGCGTCTGCCTGCGCTCCCTCCAGGGCGATGCCATGGTTGCCCGGGATGTAGTTTGCGAGGAACCGGATCAATCCCTCTCATTTGCGGCTCTTGCGAGAAGTTCGATCTCGGCTTCATCGCCGCATGGCGGCGTAGCATTTTTGATTTCGGTACCGGTCGCGCCGGTTTCTGCCCCGCTGACTGTCGGAAAAATGGGTGGGTCCATATGTTGTGCTTGACTAGAAATCAAACTTCTTCGCCCAAATATAGAGAACACAGTCGATGGAGCAAGGCCGTTTCTGATCTGGATGCATATCGTGTTATTATCTATTATTATTTCCTTTCGCGTTCTTTCTCGATGAGGTCTATGACTAACAGCTCATGTTTGTATTTCTAAATACAAGAGTCTATCCTTCTACTTTGCAAGCACTGCGTTCAACATGGTGTAGTACTTTGGCAGGAACAGATGCGAACTCTTCATAGGAGTTGCCATCCAACCGCCAAAGGTTCCGAACGGAAGCTGTACCACGCCGTTCTTGCGGCCAATCGTGACCAGCATGATCGCACTGGAGGCAGGGGTGAAGGTCGACAATTTGGTGCTGTTACCATCAATCAGTTTCTTGATGTTGGCCGCAGCGATGTCGGCTTGCTGTCCAGTGGTGTACGCAAGCTTGATGCCTGGCATGTTGGTGACGTCGCCAACGGCAAAGATGTGCTTGAACCGGTCGTCGGCGAGCTGGAGTGTTGGGGTGACTTTGATCTGCTTCTTCTCGTCGATCAAAGACGGGTCCAACGTCACGGCAACTTCGGAATTGTATTTCGCGTTACCGACCAGGAGGTACTGTATGTCGGAAGTGATGTCGAGGTTGTTGACCGTCTTGAGCGTACGTGTGGACTCAACAATGGATTGTGGCCCGAATGTGTCGGGTTCGATGCGGTCATTGGAAATGATGGTCACGCCCATCTTGAGCAGTTCATTCTTGACCTTGGCGGAGAACTTTGGGCTGATGCCCGGAATGAGGTCGGGCCCACTGTGGACGATGGTGACGGATTTGCTGGGCAGGTCTGTCTTGATCTCTCCGGCGAGCTCGACGGCACTCGGGCCTCCTCCTACGATCAAAACGCTATTTGCTTTGCGGAGCGCGGCCGTTCTTTGTCCAATCATCTTGATACCCTCGGCTGGAAGCAAGAAGGCACCTTTAGATACGGTGGAAGGATCCTCATATGCGACGCGCCAAGGCAACATACCTTTGGTTTCCCATACTGACTTCCCACCGCTGTTTTGAGATCCGGTTGCAAGCACCAAGTAATCAAATGCGATCGTGGTTCCATTGGCAAGAGTAGCCTCCTTCGCAGTGAGAGAAGTAACCTTCCCTTGTATGACTGTCACATTTTTGGTCTTGAAGGCCTTGTCATATGGAATGTACAGCTTTTCGCCATAGCCCTCCTCGACAACGGCGCGCATGCCTCCAAGAACGTAATACTGGGGTGGACGGGCGTGCCCGTTAGGAACCGCGGAGTTCTGATCAAAGACACAAAGGAAGCGTTGCACTTACGAAAGAGTCTTGCTCAGTTACGAGGGTAATGGTGAATTCCTTCTTGGCTTTGGTCAGAAGGGTTTCGAGTTTCTGAGCAGTGCCCATGCCTCCGAAAGATCCACCGATTACGAGAATTTGGACCATTCTTTTTGAGAAAATGACTGCGTTTTGGATGCGATAGATCGATATGAGTGAGGAGAAGTGAGTGGAGTTGAAGTTGGGAGGGATGTTGCGGGGCGGGGGAGCAGTATATGTAGTCGTGAGAATGGGGATGCCCCAAAGAAAGAATGTTAAGCTGTCAAATAATAGGATCCATGAGGCTTAGAAGCTTTCTCAGCAACAGACCAATTTGTGGCCATTCCGCTGTTTTGTTTTGGGGCGTCAAAAACTTTCATTTCAAAAATACGCCCCGAATCTCAAATCCGGTAACGACCGCGGCTCTCCGAAAGGCCCGGAGGTCCGAATGATTTGAAGCACATCGAATGCTTTTGACGAATGGCCGTGAATAAACGGGTTAGGGTTAGGGTTAAAACGGCTTCCAGCCTGAAAGGCTTGGTTGAGGCGGGCTTTTTGTTTGTGGTTTTACACAGCAAAACTGCCTTTACGCAAAAGGCATGAGAATGGCGGACTGCGGGATAATTGCGGACCGCTGACTGAGAAACACCGCCACATACCTGGTGCTTGCTAGCCCCAAAGACAGTTTACGGTAGTAGATATTCTATGACCAGGTTGA